GTGAATCTGTAACATCACACTGCACCAGGGACGTTCCACCGTTATCATAACGTACATTCTACTGATCACCGAAATATTCACGAAGTTTGTAACGCCCTCACAGTTATTTGGAGGGCGAACCAAATGGGAATACTGAAGAGCACTTATCTTCTGGGATACAACGCTGGTTAGTACGTTACAAGTAAACCGATGTTTCGGAGGAACATACCACCTCCATCTTCAGGATCGTGGAATATGCAGAGCAAGAAACCAGCGTGAAAGCAGGAGGTAAGCAGGGCTGGTTTCTTGCTTGGATTATTCTCAGACACCCCTAAGGTGGAAGCGATGTTCCTCCGAAACGTCGGATTGCTTGTATCCCAGAAGATAGTACACTCTTCTCAACCATCGATCTCAGAGCCTCAAACTGTACAAGCTGGAATAAGTTCTGTGAACAAAGCGTTTATAATAGGAACAACAAAACGGCAAGAGTCGCGATAGCGCAGTCGGTATAGCGGTTAGCTACTAGCCGGACATCCGACGGAACCGAATTCGAGTCCCGGGAGGGAAAAGACTGTTCTCTTCTCCACCCTGTCAAGAGCGAGTCTGTAGCCCACCCAGCCTATCTAATGGGTACCGCGGGCTCTTTCCCCGAGGATTAAATCTGCCTAGGCGTGAAGCTGACCACTCACCTCAAACTAGTGCCGAGGTCAAGAATACGTGGATCTATATATCCATTCCCGCATTCACCTTCATGGCATAATGCTTTATTAGTTAAGCACAGGGAGAGCTTCAGCTTTTTACATTAAATATGCACACAATTCTTCGTGAGCAAGAGGAACTACCTAATTAGGGGGGAAAATATATTTGTTACTAAAAACTCCGTGGACTGTAGTCCGCAAGCGAACTAAACCGACCAAGCGACCGCCGCTTGTCGGCGAAGTTTCGTGCAACTTAGCGGACAGAGGATGTCACGTAGCCAGCGCAATGGATCCCCACGGCCATTAAGCTCGGTTTTCTAGACCGGAGCCGCTATTTCCTTGAAATACCTCAATTATCCTCACGGGGCTGAGCGGACCCCGTTCCAGACTCAATACTTCTCAGAAAATCTGGTCATAAATTTGTTACGATATATGAAAATAACATACTGGCCCAGTTCAGGCAACAGCCGGTTAACGCTAATAGACTGTAATGCTTGCGAGGTGCCTAATCTTGCTGTATAGTGACTTGGAACAGCACCACTCTGCTTATCAGCTGTAGGGCACATTCTGTATGGGTCAACAAATAAGAAAAACGAACGTCTCAATAACTGTTCTTTCGTGCACAAATCAACAGAACTGCATGAAAAGCTCGGGGGGGGGGCAGATTAACTGTTCTGCGCATGAAAAGAACTTGCATATTCTAACAATTTGCAAATATGGCGGTAACTATATGTACCACATGATTTAACATTAAAGAATTATTTTTTCCCCACATACTGTGTCTATGTGTTCCATGAGGTTGCCACAATAAAGGGCGACTTCAATAATAATTGTCGGTTGGTATTCGTATTGATTTAGTGGTATGTTTTCTACGGGGTATGGCCTGAATTTTAATTACCGATCGCCTCTGTGGTCTAGTGTTCAGAGTTCCTGGATACAAATCCAGAGGTCCCGGGTTCGATTCCCGGCGTTATCAGACTTTCTGAGAAGAGCGGGTCTGGAACGGGGTCAACTCAACCTCGTGAGGATAACTGAGACATACTTAAATGGAAAAGTAGCGGCTCCGGTCTAGAAAACCAAAATTAACGGCCGTGGGGAATCATTGCTCTGAACACGACACCCTCTGTCTGCTAAAGTTGGCACTAACTTCGCCGACAAGCGGCGCTCGCTAGGTGGGTATAGTTCGCTTACGGAATGAAACGCCGGAGTTTCTATTTGTTGTTGTTGTTAATACGGATCCATTTTGTAAAAATATGTACACAGGGGCACTGCACCTTCTGAAGAAACCAAAAAAAAAAAGCTTTACTGCACAGGATTTCGGGTTCACCCAGCGGTCTTATCAACTGAACGGAATAAACGGCGTCACCTCCCAGAGAATGAAGTATTCGACTTCTATCGTATAGCCTATCGTTTGCTTTCCGGCCGTTGAAGCCTGGCATTAATATAAATAATATCTGAGAGTTCCACACACACGCCCTCCCCCCCCCCCCCAAAAAAAAACTTCGCCTCTGTTACAAGGTATAAGCGGTTAATGCTATGTAGGGATATAATCGCTGTTTACGCTGAGTATCAAACGAAATACGTAAATTCACAGTCTTTATGATACAGCGGGTGGTACATAGAGCAAACTACACTGTACTTTAAAGGATTAAGTTGAAACTTCAAACTTTGCAGCGTGTTGATGTAAATAGTAAAGCAGAATAAAGCTGGTGAACAGGTAACTTAACTCATGTAAAAGGTGACGTGTAATTAGGTTGTACGTTATGGATCCTGTTCACCTTTGTTACTTAAAGGGGTAGATTCGGATGTTTAATTATGAGTACGAAGATTTTACTAAAGCAAACTGGAAAAAAAGGGTAAAGTTCTTCCTGTGCTTAACTAATTAAGAACTACCCCATGAAGACGTATGGGAAGTGGATATATACAACCACATTTTTTTGACCTCACCACTTGCTGGAGTGGTAAGCTTCACGCCCTGGCCGCTTTACCCCCGGGGAAAGAGCCGTAGTACCCACTGGATAGGAGGTTGGGTAGACCCCAAAGCCGGTCTGGACGTTGAGAAGAGAAAATTCTTGACCCTTAGGGGACTCCAACTCGAACCACTCGGTAATCCAGAATGTAGCCAGTCGCTATACGAACTACGCCATCCCAGCTTCGCAACAGAATGTAACGTTATGATAATAGCAAAGAGCGTGCTTTTTCAATCAGTATATCATTCAGTTACTGTACGCAAGAACTTCGGGAATACTATCTAAAACAGCAGGCGTATTAATGAGATGAACAAACTGCAACTAAAGCAGAAAATGCGACATGTATTTTTACTTAGATTTTCGGGCGACGAATTCTCACTACCTACAGCAAATCGCTACAATAAAAAAAACTCCGTGGCCTGTAGTCCACAAGCGAACTATACCGACCGAGCGACCTGCGCCTGTCGAAGTTAATGCCAACTTCAGCGGATAGTGTGTGTCGCGTGGTCAGCGCAACGAATCCCCACGGCCGTTAATCTCGGTTTTCTAGACCGGAGCCGCTACTTTTCCATTCAAGTAACTCCTCAGCTATCTTCACGAGGCTGAGTGGACCCCGTTACAGGCACACTACTTCTAAGAAAATCTGGCAGCGCCGGGAATACAACCCGGGACCTCTGGATCTGTAGGCAGGAAATCTGACCACTGGACCACAGAGGCGGTCTACAACAAATCGCCGGGGAAATATTTGGGCACATGAGCAAGGAAGTAAAGATGGCCTACGCAGGACATTTGGTAAAAATATTCCTTACTTTATTATGTAATTAAGTACAATACCATGAACGCATACAGGCGAGTGGAGGTTCAATTCCAGCATTCTTGTTACTTGTCTGTTGTTGTGTGTTACTTGTCTGTTGTGTCCTATTGTGTACTACTGCCACCGGGCTAAAACCCAATTGCAGTATTATATATATATATATATANTTATTCACAAGAGCCTGTCACTGGATCCCATCCTGAGGCCGTGGAATTCATTCTACGAACATCACGGTGTCGACCCACCTTGCCTCCTACACGATGGCTACCCGGGGCTGTTTCCCTGGTAGAGCAAAGCGGCAGGACCGTGAAGCAGACTTCTCATTTCCATTCAGTGCATAATGTGAAGACTGGTGGAGATATACCTCCAGTCCCATATATGCCTTCCCAGCATAATGCTTAATTATATAACTATTATTTTTTATTGCTAGTGGGGTGGGACTAAGTCCCTTGTACTGCGGCCACTTCTGGCCTACTGTACCAGCCCCTGATGATAGGTGAGGGTGATTGTGGAGTAATTGGTGGTATGAAGATTGGCAGGGGAAACCGAAGTACTCGGAGAAAACATGCCCCAGCGCCACTTTGTCCACCACAAATCCCACTTGACCAGGCCCCGGGATCGAACCCGGGTCGCCGCGGTGGGAAGCGCTTGAGCTATGGCGCGGCCTTATTATAAACTAAATCACGGAGAACTTTCCCTTTACCAACGCTCGAGATTACTGTTTTACGACTTTATCCATCGTCCGGTATACTGAGAAACATAACTTTTCGGAAAGTGTATCTGTTTCCATCCTCAGGTGAGGAATTGGGAGACACCTACTGTTGGGTCCGTTACACAAGAGCTAACCTCAAGCACTGGACATGCATCACAATAAGCACAGTCCTAAAACCCAATTATCCGAATGTTATACACTATCGTCGGAACTCTTTAGAGTCTCCTTTAGAAACGTGTTACGGAGGAAGAAACTGATTTGAAATTTTTGGCACACACTGTATTATGCGTACTGCACTTCGAATTCTGGCCTCCGAATACTCTTCCATCCCAGATTTGTTCATGGCGGGTAACGAATGCTCTGTGTGAAGGCGGTATTCCTGTATGTCGAAGGCGAAAGAAGGGAACCAGGTGCCTGGGAGTATAATTGGGCCACACTGTCACTGGGGAATAGTGGTCCTCCAGGTTGGGAGATGGACGCAAGGCTGACAACCTTGCTCTGCGAAAAAAATACTGCTGTGAAATCCTAAGTGAAACCCGGATCAAATCTAGCAGAATCCTCTAAAGAAGGCTACGGCTCAAAAAGGGCTGTTTTGTCTATTATTATTATCTTCAACGAACACGATAGCAATACAAATTTTAGACATTAAATTTACTCCGTTCTATCCTAAAATACACTTATCCCACATCTGCCCATAAAAACGTAAAGTAACGATACACGAACTTCTAGCTGTTCGTCCTACGGTATATCGTGTAGGTGTCCCTCATCAGAAAAATTCAAAACTACTGAAAGAACAGTGACATCACTATGATTTCTTGGTTACTTACATTCCGTTTACATCTCCTCCTGGAATCGGTTTTTCTTTGTCGGCAGTTCTCCCGCCTTCGCTCCGCTGCACTTTCAGGTTATGTATCCTTTGTTACGATAACTCCAGTACTACATTCAAACACGAACACAATAACACTTCAAGTAAAATTAATTAAATGAAACGCAATAAACTGCCCATACATATACAACCACATATCCACGTATCGCGATATCAGTGTTAGCTATTTATACATGGTCCCCATTGCACCATTTCCCATATTATGAAATGAGCAGTATTATTATTATTAACAAAAACCACAATTCACAAATATAACACACAATCACATCTCATTTCTAACTATTACACTAGTTGTGCTGTTTCAAGTTGTCAATTTTATTCTTACGTATCCATTCCACAACAGCTAAATAATGTTGCACGCTCAGCGAAACCACTGCACTACCTAGTGCTGTTTCAAGTTGTCAACTTTATTCTTACGTATCCATTCAACAACAGCTAAATAATGTTGCACACTCAGCGACACCACTGCACTACCTACTCAACATAACTCCTTCGTAACTAACAGCCGACTGTTTCGTGTGCTTCCGTATCTCTACCAGCAAGCTCAGCTCCCTCCCCTCCACTCGCCCCGCGACAAGTCGTAACCAAGTGCGATTGCGTTCCACAAGCGTTCTTCATTTCTCTCTCCGACCACTAGTCCGCCTAGCGGCCACAGACCTGAAGCTTACTCACAACGATGTTCCCCGTTGAAAGAGATAATGCTACACATACTTGACTTTAAATATCATTCTTGATTAGGTTTTTCGATACTTAAAAAGATTTTTCAATTCTTTATATTATTCTGTTACAGAATTTCTTGGAAACGTGTCTGATTTCTGTTGGTGTACATTTGGTTCTTAACATTTTGTTTCGAGGCAGATAGTTTCAACGACAGAACGAGGAAGACATCAAAGACCTCCATTCCAGAGGACATGGCGTAATTACCAGAGCTCTCTGAACTTTCCTCGGTCAGACTACAAGTTCCACGCGACTGTGTGATAAGTGAAGATCCAAAAAACATCCTCTTATCATCAATCAATGTCGGAATTAGTACAAGGCAAAAAGAAAGTGGAACAATATGTTACGACGAGTCTAGCCTAGAAACTCAGCAAACACAAGCGCAAATGTCTACAGCGAAGCACGTCCCCTAGATTTTGTTGTCCATAAGTTGTTTAACGGCCGGTCACGGTAGGCGAGCGGTCTAAGGCATGCACTGTCTTCGCTCGCTTGGAAACCGGGATCCTGGGTTCGAATCCCACTCAGGGCATGGATGTTTGGTTTGTATGTGTGCGTTTTTCTGTGTGTGTGTCCAGGTAGAGGCCTTGCGACGAGCTGATCACGCGCCTAAGGAGTCCTACCGAATGTGTAAGATCTAGAAAAACCGAAGTGAAGTTCATGGAGGTAGGCCTAGGCCCACTGGGGCTGTAGTGCCGAGGAAAAAAAAAAGTTGTTTAACGATTACACACGAACTACAGAGAAGGCTCTGAGAAGAGGAACTAGTGGTTAATTTCAGGATATTATTCCGGCTTCGCTGTTAATCTTTCGTATGCAGGATTAAGATGTAAGCGCGGAAAGAATAATTTTTAATGTTAGGGAAGGGTCTTAACTTTACACAGCACCACCTTGAGGCATTATGAGGGCCATACTTGACGTGGGAGGAGACGGAGTTCGACTATTCATTCTGAATGCGTGTTCACAGCATATCTTCCTGTATTATATGAAGGTTTAAGTTGTAACAGCATAATGATAGGCCGCGCCATAGCTTCAGCGGTTAGTCGCTGGCTGCCCATCGCGGCGGCCCAGGTTCGATCCCGGGTCTGGTTAAGTGGGATTTGTGGTGGACAAAGTGACGCTGGGGAGGGTTTTCTCCGAATACTTCGGTTTCCCCTGCCACTCTTCATTTCACCAAATTCTCCATCATCATAATCACCAGAGACTCCACCCTCCACTAAGCGAATAAAAAAAATCATAATGATGCAAGAAATATGCTTCAATCTGGAGTACCATCAACATATTTTCGAATCATTCTCTTTGCAACTTTATCTACCTCTCCGGAGTTCGATTACGGTCACTGTACAAACAAATTATTTGTTGCAAAGCTACAGAGAAGAGTGCGTCAAAATGACAGATAAACTTATTTGTCTTTGTATTTCGTTAAATAGTTGCCGCATCAAAAACGTCTGAATCAAAATGTGTACAAGACCTCAAAGAGTCAGCTCTCTATATTATGACATATACAAACGTATTGGACGATAAGCCATCTGTGAGCAAATCTGTAAAGAAAGACTTGACTTCCACGTAAAGTTGGGATTATATTGGATTTATAAAGTAAAAAAAAAGTAAAGATATCCCCGTACCAGGCCGTAAAGGCCCATGTTGAGGGTCCCACATTATCTAGACAATCGGCTCAAAGATGGTGGTAAGGTTGTCAGCCTTACGCGCCGGCCGCGCTTTACTCCCCAGGAAAATTATTTAATTAATTCCTGGTACTCATTTCTGTTAGAGGCTGAGTAAATCCCAGGGCCCAGTGCGGCTGGAAGGATTAGGTCACCTCAACCACTACGCTACCGCGTGCCCCCTATTGGATTTATATTGATCAAAATTAAAATAGTCTGAAAAAGTGCTATGTGTCAGTGCACCGCGCTATCCCTTTAAACCACAGTTGTTACTAACCTCCTTCGAACGTTAAGACATTCTGTATTTTTCACAGGGAGGAAAACACTTTCTTCTGTTGTCAAGAATGCGTGTTTATTGGCTGTTACCCAACAATGGATATACGCGAACTACACAGGAAACACCTCTTCTGTTGTCAAGAATGCGTGTTCATTGGCCCGTTACCTAGTAATGGATCTACATGTCACAATGTAAATGGAATATACATATTAAGTCATTGAATTTGAAATTCTCACAGATCTGACTTTGAAGAGGAAGGTCTTTCAATTGTAGTGTCATATAGTTCGGATGGATTTTGGTTTATTGAAGAACATGTCACCCTCAGCTTAAGGTTCAAAACGTAAATCAAACAAGAAACAAGAAGAAACAGGTGGCAGGCTTGAAGCGTTATGTTCCTCCGAAACGTCGGGCTCTCTCCAAACTACAGAATGTTCCAGCACTGAAGACCAGCCTCTTCACATATTAAGCTCACATTCGGAGATCAAGTTTTTGGAGATTTAAGGGGCCCATACACGTACGAGTCTGGCTCGCAAGTCCGATTCGGCTCATACGTGTGTGGTGAAATTAATCCGAACCCGGCTCCTCGCCGAGCCAGACTCGTACATGTATGGGCCCCTTTAGGATCAGAAAAGAATTTAATGAGGGATCTAAAGAGGGAATCTCACGAAGGGATATTAAGAAATTCAAGGCTTCCAAGCGTTAGCAGTTAACAAGGCCTGAGATGTAGTTGCTGTTGAGGACCTGCGCTCCAAGATCACAATCACATCCATTTCCTTGCACTGTTATGAAGAGACACGACTTAACCAAATCAACACATTCCACAAGTGAAAACAGAGTCTTCTTGCATTCAGCCGAACGCCTCTCTGTCTAGGATGCATACTGTGTTGATCGTAGCAGCACGAATTGGTATCTGAAAAGGAAACGTTATTACTACGGCTAATGCATAATTCTTTTCGCGTTCCTACCCTGTCAATTGGTATTCACTGTCGCAGACTCAGCAAGTGAGAGTCAACATCTTTTGAGATTCAGTCATCTCGTGACCTCGTTATGAACCCGGAAATCACCGCGGACAGATACATTTACAGTACTCCAAGAACAGACCGAACAATACGTCTATGTCAGGCGGTACGTGGATACTCACGCCGTGTCATCTCAACAATTCCTCTCTGGCTCTGTGTTCCGCAGTATGAAAATGGAGGTAAGAGAGAACAGTTGAAGAGTAGACGAAATGGGAAACTCATGAGAGGAGGGAGACAGGCTTCATTTCTGGGAGATAAAGAGCAGTGATCCTCAGAAGGGTCCCTGGCTCCCTCTGCTCCAACTGCCGGTAAGCCTAGTACGAAAGTGAAGGCGCTACACGGTAGGAAGCTGCGATGGTTAAGACTAGTGGCTTACGAAAAGGGCAGGCGAGTTCTGATTTTCTGTTCAATGATATTGTAGCAGATTTGACAGGCAACGGCTCCGCAAACACAGTCCAACACGCAACAATAGATGAGGCTGTTAATTTATGTCCTCCGTGCCACGCCCAGTGCTCATAACGAACCAAGGAACTCACAGTCTGACATGTGGCATGTGTTTTCTGTGCGATCCGTGCCGAAGAGCTTCCAGAATAACCGAGAGGGCAGTCCAGGAGAGTTGAGTTGATAATTCAGTTCTGTACGGGAATTTGTGACGAAACGGGTTAGTTGCAGGAGTGCGGCTGTGAAGAGAAGACGTTATGCGTGATACCTGGCGTGTGTAATTCAGTGAGATTGTTATAGTTTCTGTGTTTAATTCCGTTGCCAGGAGACGACTAGTGTGTGTGTGTGTGTGTGTGTAAAACAGTGAATTATATAATTTAGAAATAGCGATATCGCTATAATTACGTGCAATTACTTGTGGTGTGTATAAGGAGTAAATAAACCCGTTCATCCAATCCAAAACCCGCGTTGTTAGTCACTAATAAACGTGACAATATTATCACATGCAGGGGTAGCTATAAGACGGAGTTTGGATTGGTGAATGGATTTATTGCACCTTCTTCACACAACTCGGGACTACAGGCAATTACAGCCTATCGTTGATCTACACACTTTACAGTTCACCGTTACACACAGAAGGTTCCTCTGCCTTCACTAGTCGTGTCCAGGCAACGGATCTATAACAGCCTGTCACTTCACATCACACATGAAGTCGAATTCCTTTCTTGCCATTATTTTCAATCACCTTAGACTGCCGTCTCCAGAACTCGACCAACAGCTGACTCAAATGAACTCTCTCAACTTCTGACAACTGTCTCTTCTCAACTGAACCCTTCATTATAACCACTTTGCACTGACCACGGAGAAAGCATAGCCCCTATTGTTAAGGAGGCTTGCTTTCTGGTCCGTTGCCTAGAAATAGACGTCCTAGTGTTTTGCGGGTTGACTCCCGGGGGAATGTGTTTACCGAGTCGTTGCCTAGCAATGAGTATATACGTCACAATATTTTCTGGTTGTTTAATGACACTGTCAGTAGTTAAGATTAAAGAGGGGCGAACTGTAACACGATTAACGAATTGCGAAGGATTTGGACAGAAACAATCGTGGCACAGTCATTCTCGCATGTTGCTGGAGGGACTGAGGAAACCCATTAAAATCTGTCAGGAGAGTTGATGTACCGACTGATATCCGAAACGAGCACCTCCCGAATATCAGTCTATATCAACCTTGGTAAAGGCAAAATTCATGAAGACTTATGGTGCAGTGGATATATAGATGCACATTTTTGTGGCCTCGGCACTCGGTGGAGGTGAGTGGTCAGCTTCACGCCCCTGCCGCTTTACCCCCGGGGAAAGAGCCCCCGGTACTCAATGGATAGGAGGTCGGGTGGACCCCAGAGACGGTCTGGACGATGTGGAGAAGAGAAAATTCTTCACCCTA